TCAAAACACGAGAAAATCCCAAGCGGCACTTAGGAGGTATAGATTTCACAGTGCGAAGCCCCTTAGAAAATAAGCTATCAAGTAGGCCCACATCGAAACCACACGAGGGATCATGCGAAAAGCCCCGAGCAAAAACAAGCTCAGCAGAACAAGGGGGCTCAGGCTTGGGGATATCATATAGAACAAATCGGACAATACCATCCCCACAATCAGGGGGCGCCACAGAGTCAGATCCCCCATTATGACGGCACTGCTTGCGAAGAGCAGGAATTTTAAAACAAACTCCACAAAGCCAATGACCCATACGCTTAAGAGTGACCTCAGCTGCACTAAAAATATTGAAATTAGACGTAAGGGCCTCTCTTGTGATAGCCCGCGCATCACCCGCGAAATGCTTCTCCCGAAGGTGAACAAGCAGGGAGGCTTTGGTGAGCCCCTTACCACCCTTGTCCGTGCAACCACCAAGACCAACGAAGGGACAATGAAAGCAAAGGACGCTTGGCATGGCATACAACCAAGCACAACAGCAGAGAAGCACACAAGCAACAAAACACCAAACCAACACAGCCAGAAACAGCAGGATAGCAAACGAGGAAGCCGAACCCAACAAGAAAAGCGGCCTGCGATTATAAACCCTCGCCCCTCTCCAAAAACGCGACCTGCAACCCTCGACCCCTCCCTCTGAAAAAGGGCCCTGCAACCTCGACCCCTCTCCCTAATCGCTACCTGCAGAGCCGGAACCAGATCGCTGTTGGAACCAGATCGCCCGTTTTCTGGTCGGAACCAGATCGCCCGCTGTTGGAACCAGATCACCCGCTGTTATCGCCCGTCGCCCGCCGCTGGATCGCCCGTCGCCCGCCGCTGTTATAACCAGATCCCCGCAGGATCGCCGCTGGAGCGCCCGTCGCCCGCTGGAACCAGATCGCCCTATTATTATTATTATTATTATTATTATTATTATTATTATTATTATTATTATTATTATTATTATTATTATTATTATTATTATTATTATTTTTGTAAATTATCTCTCTAGAATACTTTTTTCCAAGTTTTATTATTATTATTATTATTATTATTATTATTATTATTTTATTCTGTAACAACTTTGAAAGGTTTTAATTTTTCTAAATATACAATATTAAATTATTTTATAGCTAATATTGCTATGTTGTATTATAGTTTTTAAAAATGCATTACACACTTTTTTTAATTTAGATTTTTAAATATCATAAACGTACATATAATATATAATTTTTTGTTCCTCTTCGTGCATGTGCCACAGGATCAAATACTAGTATATATAATTGCTGCCAAAGTAATTTATAAAATTCCAACTAGCATTTAATAAAAGTAAGCCCACATTTAATAAAAATAAGGATTTATATAATAAAAATGTTTATGATTTCCCTTCAAAAACAGTTACACGTTTTTTATTTATTTTTTGCCTATAATGATTTTGAAAAAACCTATAACAAATATGATATCAGTTTTTTATTTTGAAAACATCTATATATTACTACTTGGTAATTTGGTTATACAATATTACAAAAAAAAAAAAAATAATAATTTTTTATATAGAAATACATCCCATTAATTCACTGTCGACTTAAAAACCCTGCCAATATAATAACAAAAAAATCATCATGTCAGCAAAAATCTTGGTAATTTACCCCTACACATCAGCCCATATCAATGTTTTTTCATTATTTACAATGTAAAAACATATTCAAAATTTGCCCATATTTGTTTTTTTAAAAAAAAAAGATGCGCGCATTTAATAAAAATAAAGCTTCACTTAATAAAATTATTTACGTTATCCCTTCAAAAAATAGTTACACTTTTTTATAATTTTTTTCCCATACTGTTTTTGAAAACACCTATAATTTTGATAGGTCCGATTTTGTAGGTTGTAACGGCTATTATACTATTGGTTTTTTTATTTTGGCAACAATTATATATTATTATTTGATAGTCTGATTATATATAAAATATTACAAGAAAAGATTTTGATATAATAGAAATACATCTAAATTCATGGCCCACTTAAATATCTTAATGATATAAATAACAAAAAAATATCATCAAGTCAACAACAATCTTGCTAATTCACCTCTACACATCATATCAATATTTTTCATCATTTACAATGTAAAAAAAAATATTCAAAATTTAAATTAATTAATGTTGACTAGATGAAATGGAATCATTATAAATAGATGCAAACATCATCCCAATTACTACATTCTTATATTACCAGTCAAATTTTCAAGTTTTCAGCAAACAACATACCTCTCATCTACTTTTCTATTCATTTTTTATTTGATTGAGCAATTTTTAGACTGAGCATATTGGACGAAAAAAATGACCAAGAAATTCATTGGAGACTGGTTCGATTCTATTCTAAAAATTTTGAGGTGTCTTATCAATATTGTTCGAGGTCCAACCTGCCATCGTGATTATATGAAGTTGAACGACATATAACACGATTTGTATCGCGAAGCATTTTTTTCCCTCGGTATGGTGGAGGACGAGAAGGAGTATATTGAAGGCATTATTGAGGCAAGTCAATGGTCGAGCGCAAATTCGTTGAGAAACCTTTTTGCTACTCTTCTTTTCACTGATGCTTTTTGTTGATCGGAGTTTGTGTGGGATGCATGATGGCCTTACCTATCGTATAACATATTATATAATCGTTAGAGGGTTTTACAGCACCCAGGCAAACAAATCAGTTATGGTTAGATACTTTTAATTTATTTTTCCTCTTTTATGTATTTATATTTATAAACTTTTTATATTGTTACAAAATTGTGATAAATGATGATAAAGTAAAGAATTTGGTATTGGCGGAGGTGGGAAAAATTTTGCGCACACGTTGTATGGGTTTACTCAAATACGATACAATGCCTTTTTCTAATCTCAATCGTAATGAGGCATCCACGAACATAATGGTGATGGATGAGCTGAATTACGATTGTCATGCACTCGCTATTGTGAATTATGAGCTGGTTGTCAATATGACTAATGACCAGCACAACGTTTATGTTTCGAAATGGTACTCTATTTACCGTAACCACGGTCGTATGCTATATGTTTATTGTTACAGCGGCACAAGTAAAACGTATGTCTAGAGGTTTTTGTCTTCTTCTTTGAGATCTAAAGGCGAAGTCGTGTTACCGTTGCATCAAGTGGTATTGCATCACTTTTGCTGCCTGGCGATGCACTGCGCATTCACGATTGAAAATCTCACTAAACCCAGTGTAAGGGTCTACATGTGACATTAGCCAACAAAGTCCTTTGGTTGAACTGATTATACGGTATCGGTTGATCATTTAGGATGAATCCCCGATGATGAAGATATATTGATTCTAGACTGTTGACAACACCTTACGAGACTTAATAGAAACAAAATAATCCATCGAGGGAAAATCTCTGATTTGGCGGAAATTTTTTTGTGTTTGGTGGCGATTTCAGGCAGATACTCCATGTTAACCTTAAAGACAATCGAAGAATGCGACCGTCAATTCATCCAAGTTGTGGCGCGATTGTATCATTATGATTTCTGAGTGTGACTCAAAATATGAGGCGTCGAAGCCTTGGTGGGAATGATGAGTACAATGAGTTGAGACGCTTCTCAGGGTGGCTTGTAAGCATTGACGATGGTACATTCGGTGGATCGAATGACGATTTTGCCGACATCGACATTCCTGACGATGTTCTTCTGAAATAACAAATGGATCCTATTACTCTATTGTCGAGAATACCTAATCGATATTCAGGAGTTCAAGCAATGATCTTAGCTATCTCAGGGACAGAGCCATACTCGCTCTAACTGTTGATGTCATTGAGTCCGTTAACAAGTACATGAGCTCAGTGAACTCGTCTGAAAGAAAGTCTTATTTGAGTTCTGGCACCCCTTGCAAGTCATACGCTGGATATGTTCTCTTCAAGATCTACATACTCCTGAATTTCTCAATGAGATTAAGTGCTTGAGAATTCTGAATCATAAGTTGCACTTGAAGGTCAATACTCCAGTTATGTTGCTTACAAATATTGATCACTCCATGGAGTTGTGCAACGGTACACGTTTGGTTATTACTAAACTCAACAACTATGTCCTCGAATGTTTTAACCAGTGCCAGAGCTGGTGACTAGGTTCTTATTCCAAGCTCACAATCATACCATCTGATCTGAGGGTACCGTTCAAGTTTCGGTGCTGACAGTTCCCACTCATGGTCTACTATACTATGACAATCAATAAGAGTCGATGTTAGTCTTTGTCGCATGTTAAATTACTATTTGATGTGGTCGTTAGTAGCGGCTCATGAAGGACCGGTTGTGATCCGAGTTCTAGTCGCACTCAGCCGGGTGGTCCAATTTGGTAGGCGAATTTCATGGTACATTTAGGGTACGTAGTCGGTAGGCGAAGATTCTGGTAGGCACAGCCCATGGTACCTTTGGAATACATGGGTGGTCGGCGGAGGCTAGCTCAACATGAACTAGGCAGCACCTGGGCACCTAGGTAGCTGGACGCCCCATGGAGGTGACCAGAGCCTAAAGGGGGTATCGTACTCAAGTCATAAAGAGGTTCGTAACCTCAAGGACTCTTGGAATTTTGACCTAATCTGAGGAGAAGACTCATGGTATGATAAGAACTCTTCAACCTCTAGATGACTTCATCTATAAAAGGGGCGCAGGTTATTTCATTTACACAACACACACATAAAAATTCTCTCGTTACTCTGCCGCTTTTTCTTCGGACCACCATTGACTTGAGCGTCGGAGTGTTCGCGTCGGGACTACCCCCGACGTGTTTTGCAGGTACCGGCGATCAAGGAGACGTAACCCGGTTCGAAGAGGAGCGGTCCAGCGGTCCAGCGGTCTAGGTTTGTGTGGTATAACAAATTGGCGCCGTCTGTGGGGAGAATCAGTCTTTTACCGGAGCATTAGAGGCTGTTTTTTCTCACCAAGGAAGAATAGAACAAGTATCATGGCAGGAGATAATTCGAAGAAAAGCTTGACTAAGGAGATGGATGATGAGTGGGCTCGGAGGGCTTTCGGAATAGGTCCCCCGCCGGGATGGTCACCCTCGCCTGTCACCCCCAAAGAGACGCTGTTGGGCCCAAGTGTGACCCTGGTACCACCATCAGGAGTTGAGGGGCGCGTGCTAAACCAGGGAGAATCAGGTGGTTTGATAGACAAAGCGAAGGAGGTGGGCGCCACAACTGATGGGAAGGCGAATCAAGGCGCTTTGGGATCTGGAGGTGCTGGTGACCAGAATGGTGTCCCTGGTAGTAGGCAGTTGGTCATGGTAAGAGCACAAAACCCTCCGGGGGACAATGTTTCTTCGGCACCGCGGGAGGACCCAGTTATTCAGATGACTAGGTCGGAGTTGGACAAGATTATTGCTGAGGCGATAGGCCGGGCGCAGGAGGTGGATAAGAGAGCACCTAACGAGTCGTTTCGACAACCTCCGCCACGACAACCATTAGCACCACAACAATAGGTCCTTTCGCATCAGCAGCAACACCAACGCTTGGAGAGGGGCGATGAGGAGGAGGCCAGGTCGGCGACCTCTCGCCCGGTGGCAACGACACAACCAGAAGGGTTAACTTTGGAAAGGTTGGCGGCTCAAATGCGAGAACTCCAAGCTCGGGTGCAGGGTAAGAGACCTGTAGTTTCACGAGGACATCCTTTTGCCGAGGATGTCTTAGGAGGAGATTTGCCTAGCAACTTCAGGGAGTTGAGCTTGTCCTATGATGGATCGGCGGACCCAGCTAGGCATTTGAGATCATTTGACAACATAGCTGTGTTGCACAGGTATAGTGATGCTGTAAGTTGCCGAGCCTTCTTGACAACGCTGAAGGGGTCGGCGCAGGATTGGTTCCATCAGCTGCCGGCGGGGTCTATCGATAGCTTCGAAAAGTTTAGCTCTTTGTTTCTGAATTAGTTCGCAAGCGCCAAGAAGCACGAGAAGACGTATCTCTCACTAATCAATATGCAGCAAAAGGAGGGGGAGACCTTGCGGCAATATGTAGCGCGATATACCAAAGAGTGCATAGAGGTCCCCTCTGCCTCGGAAGAGATCAAAGCTGGAGGCCTTACGTGGGGGTTGAGGCCAGGGAAGTGCAGAGATTCGTTGGCGAAGAGGCCGGCGAGGTCCTTTGACGAGTTACTTGAGAGGTGTAGCAAATATGTGAACATAGAGGAATCGGAGGCGGACTTCATCCGAAATGACAAAACAAAGACCAAGCAGGTAGACGAGAGGCCTCGACAGGGTGATCGGCGAGCTCCTCCTAAGGAGGTTAAGGTCGAGGATCGATTTAGGGGTCCAAGGTATGAGCATTACAAACCGCTTAACGCACCACAACAGGAGATCTTGGAGAAAATGGAAAAACGGGGGGAGGACAAGTTGCTGGCGCAGCCAAAGCCTCTACCCCCACCGAGGAAGTTCTCGGCGTCAAAGGATAGGTATTGTCGGTACCACCGTGATTATAGCCATGCTACAAATTTCTGTCGGGAGTTGAAGGATGAAATCGAGCGGCTCATCAGAGCTGGTCACTTAAAAGAGTTCGTGATTAAGGACAAAGAGCGCCAGGACGATCGTCGGGAGGGGCGAGAGTCGGGTGACAAACGGAGGAGGACTGATGAGCAATCTGACAGACCAGTTAAGAGAGGCATAATACACATGATCGCGGGAGGTCCTACGGATGGAGACTCGCACAGGGAGAGGAAGAGGACCTGCCGGGGAAAGAGTGTGGCAGGAGAAGTGGCCGAGGTGCAGGTGCAGAGGAGCTCAGCCACTTTGAAGTTTGGAGTTGACGATGTGCAGGGGCTTGTTGTTCCACATAATGACGCTTTGGTCATCACTGCAGAGGTGGCCAGTTACGACGTGCAAAGGGTGCTCATAGACACGGGGAGCTCAGCAGACATCATTTTCTTGAAGTGTTTGCAGCAGATGGAGTTAGATGTGAAAGTCGAGCCAGTCCACACTGCTCTCTATGGCTTTAGCGTCAGTGAGGTCCGCCCAGTAGGAGAAGTTAGCTTAACGGTAGCGTTAGGAAGGTCACCTTTGAGAAAGGTGAAGATGGTGCGTTTTCTGGTCGTGGATGCTAGCTCGGCCTACAACATCATACTGGGTCGACCTAGCTTGAATTCGTTCCAGGCAGCCATTTCCACTTATTGCATGAAGATTAAATTCCCTGTAGGAGATGAGGTCGGAGAGGTGACGGGGGACCAGCTGCAATCTAGACGGTGCTATGAGGTCACCTTGAAGATGGCTGAGGCACAACACAGGAAAAGGAAGGACGACCTACCTGAGAACTCCCACCGGGAGAAGAGGCAAGAGCTGGGGATGAGCTCTCAGGACGAACTTATGGAAGTTGAATTGATAGAAGGAAGTTCGGACAAGACAACCAAAGTGGGTCGGCATTTGGCGACCGACGTACAAGGTGCGTTGATTGCACTGTTGAAGGAGTTTGTGGATGTTTTTGCCTTTTCGACCGACGACCTTACATGAATCAATCCCGAGGTAGCGGAGCACAGGTTAAACATCGATCTAACTATGAAACCAGTGAAGCAGAAGAGGAGGCATTTCGGTGCCGAGCTGGACGTGGTTATTGAGGCAGAGGTGGAGAAGTTGTTAAAGGCGGGACATGTGCTACCCATTCAGTTCCCGGAGTGGTTGTCCAACTCAGTCATGGTAAGGAAGGGAGAAGGAAAGTGGAGGATATGCATAGACTTCAGGGATCTCAACAAAGCGTGCCCAGATCACTACCCTTTCCCTCGTATTGACCAGCTCGTTGACTCTACAGCTGGGTGTGAGCTGTTAAGCATGATGGACGCATCCCAGGGGTACCACCAAATACCTCTCGCCAAAGAGGACCGGAAGAGGGTTAGCTTTGTGACATCCAAGGGAACTTATTGTTACGTTGTCATGCCTTTCGGATTGAAGAATGTGGGGGCTACCTACCAACGGTTGGTAGATAAAATGTTCAAAGGGCAGATTGGTAGAAATATGGAGGTCTACGTTGATGACATCCTAGTAAAGAGCAGGAAGGCGGATGATCACGTGGTAGACTTGCGCGAGACCTTGAGTACCCTACGACGGTATGGCATGAAGCTCAACCCAGCTAAGTGCAAGTTTGGGGTACGGTCAGGAAAATTCTTGGGCTACTTGGTCATGGAGAAGGGCATAGAAGTCAACCCAGAGAAGGTACGAGCTGTTTTGGAGATGCAAGCACCAAGGAACTTGAGGGAGGTGCAGATCCTAACCGGACGATTAGCAGGGTTGAGCAGGTTCATAGCTCAATCCGCAGAGAAGAGTTTTCCATTTTTTAAGGCTTTGAAGAAGGGGTCGCGGTTCGAGTGGACGTCGCAAGCACAACAGGCCTTTGAAAGGTTGAAGGAGTTTCTAGCTGAACTCCCCTTACTTACAAAACCAGAACCAGATGACACGTTAGTGGTATACCTGTCGGTGGGGCATGAAGCAATCAGTTCGGTGCTGATAAAGGAGGATCATGGACAGCAGAAGCCGATATATTATGCCAGCCGAATATTGCAGGGCGCCGAGCGTCGATATTCAGATGTGGAGAAGGCAACATTGGCACGTATCTCTACAGCCAGGAAATTGTGTCCTTACTTTCTAGCACATAAGGTTATGGTACGTACCAACTACCCGCTCAAAGATACTTTGGGTCGCCCTTCGTCCTCGGGGAGAATGGTGAAGTGGGCGGTTGAGTTGGGAGAATATAACGTGGATTTTGAAGTGCGAAAAGCCATTAAGGCCCAGGCGTTGGCGGACTTCATACAAGAGTGCACTCTGGGAACCGAGAGGGGACCGTGGATGTTATACGTCGATGGCTCGTCGGCGGTGGGAGGATCAGGTCTGGGCATCTTGGTGGTCACACCAGAGAAGGACCACTTAGAGTTTGCGGTCAAGTTGTCCTTCAGGGTGTCGAATAATGAGGCGGAATACGAAGCTCTCATTAAGGGAATTTAGCTCGTCCTAAAAGAAGGAGCTCGTCAGGTGATCATTCACTCGGATTCTCAACTTCTGGTCGAACAGATCAAGGGTGAGTATGAAGCTAAGGAAGAGCGCATGAAGAGGTACCTGTCCGAGGTTTAAGCGATGTTAAAAGGATTTGCGGCGTGGGAGTTGATACAAATATCGCGGGGAGAAAATGGTAGGGCCGACCTACTCTCAAAGGTGGCCCGTCTCTGGTTGACTGTCGATCTCGGTCGGTGACACTAATGGATATGAATAGGAGTACTTTAGACTTGGTGCTGGAAGTTGAAGAGCAAAGGGACTGGAGGTCGCCCTTATTACAATGGCTGCAGGAGCCGGTAGTCGGAAAGAATATAAGGGACGACCCGGTCGGGAGGAGAGCATTGAGGTTCTACCTGCAGAATGGGATTCTACATAAACGGTCGTACGTAGGGCCTCATCTAAGGTGTGTCTCGGAGGAGGACGGAGAATACGTGCTCAGAGAGGTGCATGAGGGGTGTTGCGGCGATCACCTAAAAGCTAGGGCGTTGGTTGGCAAGGTGCTTTGGGCTGGATACTTCTGGCCTAAGATGAGGACGATGGCGCAAGACCTTGTGCGAAAATGCAAGAGGTGTCAACAACATGGTCCATTGATCCACCGAGCAACTGAGAACATGGTTCCGATAAGCTCGCCCCTGCCTTTTACTCAGTGGGGGGTCGACATAGTTGGACCGCTACCCCAGGCGACAGGCTAACGAATGTTCCTCATTGTGGCAGTGGATTACTTCTCTAAGTGGATTGAGGCCGAACCCTTGGCGACGATCACAGAAGAGAGGGTGATGAAGTTCCTTTTCAACAACATATGTTGTCGGTACGGCATCCCTTGGGTGCTTATATCTGACAATGGTACTCAGTTCAGGGGTCGGCGTACGATGAGTTGGTGCGAGGAGATGGGCATAAAACAACAGTTCGCTTCGGTCGCCCACCCCCAAGCGAATGGGCAGGCCGAGGTCGCGAATAGATCAATTCTAAATGGGTTGAAGGCGAGGTTAGAGAGAGCTTCGGGAGCTTGGGTGGACGATCTTGACTCGGTGTTGTGGTCATATCGGACGACACCAAGGACGTCAACGGGGGAGACGCCGTTCAGTCTAGTTTATGGTATGGAGGCCGTCATTCCAGTGGAGGTCGGCCTCAACTCGGAGCGGGTTAGCACCTATACAGAAGAAGGGAATGTCGAGCTCCGAAGGGAGGCACTTGACCTGGTGGACGAGCTGCATGACCAGGCGGGATTGAGAACAACAGTTTACAAGCAACGGATGAGGGCGGCCCAGGACAAGTCAGTTCGAGCTCGACGATTCCAAGTGGGAGACCTGGTTTGGCGCCAGGCCGACGCACTGAAGCATGTCGGGAAGTTGGAACCGAACTGGGAGGGCCCTTATACTATCGAGAGGGTGTTCGCAGGGGGTGCCTACGAACTCCGCGATGACGAGGGGCGGTTACTATCGCGACCATGGAACATATCACATTTGAAGAAGTATTATGCATAGCTGGGCACCTATTGTTTTTAATTGCTTTTGGTTGTTATTCAATTATGTTTCAGCAAGACAAGTAATAAAGTTGCATTTGAAGTTTTTTTAGCTTAACTGTGTTCTTGTGTGATGTATCTAAGGTTGGTGACCTGGTAGTCTCGCCTAAGCTCGCGGAGCTAGGCGACGACCCTTGTAGGCAAAAGCCTGGTAGTCTCGCCTAAGCTCGCGGAGCTAGGCGACGACCCTTGTAGGGCGAAAGCCTGGTAGTCTCGCCTAAGCTCGCGGAGCTGCGCGACGACCCTTGTAGAGTGAAAGCTTGGTAGTCTCGCCAAAGCTCGCGGAGCTAGGCGACGACCCTTGTAGGGCGAAAGTCTGGTAGTCTCGCCTAAGCTCGCGGAGCTAGGCGACGACCCTTGTAGGGCGAAAGCCTGGTAGTCTCGCCTAAGCTCGCGGAGCTGGGCGACGACCCTTGTAGAGCGAAAGCTTGGTAGTCTCGCCTAAGCTCTCGGAGCTAGGCGACGACCCTTGTAGGGCGAAAGCCTGGTAGTCTCGTCTAAGCTCGCGGAGCTGGGCGACGACCCTTGTAGGGCGAAAGCCTGGTGGTCTCTCCTAAGCTCGTGGAGCTGGGCGACGACTCTTGTAGGGCGAAAGCCTGGTGGTCTCGCCTAAGCTCACGGAACTAGGCGACGACTCTTGTGGGGCGAAAGCCTGGTAGCCTTGCCTAAGCTCGCGGAGTTAGGCTAGGGCGCAGGCTGTGCCCGGTGACGACCTTTATAATTAACAAGGCCGTCGCGTAAAGTTGAGAATGCGAGTCTTGGAAAACTTAGCAATAATTGTGCTAGGTGCAAAAGCCCATTGTCACGATGCTAAGTATTGACAAGGTTTGGTGAATGACGCTCGTCTTGAGCGGGAAATTGTGGCTATTTGTGTAAGTAATACATTATGCAAGAACGAGCAACTGAAATGGGTAAGTAACAAAATGACGGCATTGCATTCATCCATGGTGCTAGCTAATGGTAGGTAGCATCGAAAGACTAAATAAGTTCACGATTACATGCCCAAATAGAAAGGTTCACAAACGAGACTAAATAAGTTCATGACCAAATAGAAAAGTTCACAAAAGACTGGATGGGTTCATGACTACATGACAAAAGAAAATCGCACGCCAGTCGATAGAGGCAACCCCGAGCCCTGCTACTAGGGAACCATCTCTATCTCGGCACCAGCAGCAATGACGGCAGCCTCCAGGGCCGGCTCCCACGAAGGATGGGTCAACGGGAGAGATGGGTCGCCATTCCACCCTTCGGGGTTAGGAAGGCCTTTCCTTAGCTTGCCTTCATCCGCGGAGAAGGCTTTGAAGCCTTGAGCATGTGCCTCGGCTTGGGTCCGCTCGACCCCTGCTCTGAAATACTGAAGGCAGTCCTTGACAACCCGCTGGAGAAACACCTTGGAGTCGTGGTAGCGCGTAAATAGCTCGTCTCGGTAGCACTTGAGGAAGAGGGTCCCGAACTCCGAGTCGAGGTATGTAGCTCAGGCCTCCTGCTGGGCCTGGACAATGCGCTCGTCAAAGGATCGCCGAAGAGCCTCCAGCTCGCCCTGGAGCTCTTCCTTCTCGGCCTTCTCCTTGGCAAGATCCTGCTTGAGGGTAGCAACCTGTGCATCCCTCCTAGCCACCTTGCCTTTCAGTTTCTCCATTTCCTCGGAGTCACCTTCCATAGCCTCATTGAGGATGGGGGCTAGACCGGCCATGGCCTGTTAAAAGAGATAGAAGTGGTTGGGTATTAACTTCATGAGATTTAAGTGCGACAAGTATAAAGTTGAGATGTGGGGGTATACCTGACTGAGATGGAACATGGTGTCACTGGCTCGGTGCTCCTTAGTTGGCCACTTGACTGTCTCGCGATCGGGGAAGATGGAGAGGAAGTAGGAGACTGACGCCTCTGTGTCTTTGTTGCCCGCGAATTTCTCCGGTACGGTAATGGTGCGCGGCTCGTCACTCTGGGAAGTGACCTTGCGCTTCTTCGAGAAGTTCCTGATTGGTGGTTGGCGGTAGCGCTGCTTTGGAGTCGCCTGCTTTTCCGGTACGTCGGTCGTCACTAGGACCTCCTCGGTGGTGGGAGTGGTTAGTGGGACCTCGTCGGTACCAATGGTGGTCTTAGGGACATCGACACGGGCGACGGTCTCCATGAGCTCCTCTGCGAGACAAATAAAAGATACAAATATTAGTAATCACATTATATGCATATGACTAGCATGAATGAGAGGGTAGGTGATATGATGCCCACTTGGGCGTCGAGGCCTACCTATGTCATCAACAGGGTCCGCAGCACGGCTAGACAACTTGAAGTACCGAAGAAGCTGGTCGCTAGCTGTCAGCTTCGCCACGAGGAGGCGACGAGCGTTCCATTGGTCGAGAAGGGTCTGGTAGGTGGTTTTTTCTTTGGTTTCTTAAGTTGTGTAGGTGGTTCATTTAGCCAATCGAAAGGGAAGTCGAAGGTGTCGGGGGTAGGAGGATGAATGAAGAAAAAATTGTTTTTCCACCCGTGAATTTTCGACCGGGATTGCTCTAGAAATCGGGTGTGTTTGCGACGCATGAGATAAGGCACACCGTTTAACTTACTGAGACATATGCAATAGAAGCAAAACGTGGGGTCGAGTCGGCCAAGTCGGGCCCGACATACCATCGTGAAGGCAATGAGCAGGCGAATGGAGTTAGGGGGTAATTGGTTAAAAGGCATCTTATACAATCCGCTAAGTTGTAGCAAGTCGGGATGAACGGGGAATCTCAGCCCGACGTTTACTTGGTCTAGGAAGAAAGTGAAATGGCCGGGTGGGGGGCTATTGTACGTGTCTGTGGGTGTCGGAAGTTTAAGTTCCCAACCTCGGGATAACTCCATTTTCCTAACAAGTGTGGCTACTTGGGTGTCCGAATACGAGCATATGGGATTGGGAGGTACGATTTGAGAGGGGGTAGCATCCTCTTTTGCTTTAGTGTTGTGAGGAGCCTTGGGAGCCGGAAGGGCCAAGGCGACGGTGGGTGACCCTACGGGTAAGGACCGTGAAGGTGAGGGTGAGTTCGACCTAGTGTCATTCGCGGAGGCCGAACTAGTGTTACTCGCGGGGGTAGGGCTAGTATGACTAGTCGAAGTAGAGCTAATGGTGGTCGAAGAAGGTGAGCTCGGGTCATTCGGGGGAGTGGTTCCTTCTAAGGGGTACGAAACCACTAAACGTCGACAATGTGCACATTCAAATCTATTGAATAATAAATCCTAGCGCAGCGGAATCTATAGTTAGGATTAGGACTTACGGTTTAAAAATTTTTGCCGACTCTGAGACGTTTCTGATTTCCGTTGATGGAGATCGTCTGAACACCAAAGTCTAATGGGC